GAAGTTTCTAGCCAGTATTATTTGGTATGATGGGTTTCTGAAACATGGGTGATAAAAGAGAATGTATACATTGGGTTTCCACCAAATTTATCACCCGTATGCTGTAATCCAAATCTTCGTAGTTCCGTTTCGAAAAATCCAAAACTGGTATGCTGTAATCCGATCGTAACTATCAACGGCACTGCCAGCTAAAAGGCCCTACACACTGATCGATTTATCGGCCAACCAGTTAGCCAACCGCTAGAAGTTGTTGGTAAATAAACCGTGTGTAGGCAAGTTGGCAAACCTTCGTCAAGTTGTTTGTCAGGTTGGAGAAAATAAAAATTGTTTGTTTGTTTTGTTAAGTAGGTTGATCAACTGGTTGGCCGATAAATCAATGCGTGTGTAGGGCCTTTGAAAGCGTGAAATTCGAGGTCTTGAATCCACTTCTTTGACAGAAACAAATCTAAATAAATATAATTGCAAGTGAATAGGGAAATTGAAAAACAAATTTGTTTAGTCTTTATTTGAAAATAATTGTCCTTATTTAAGTAGAATACAATGGAATCAGTGGCCGAAGCACTTTTGCCTCAGGAGGAAGAACTAACAGTTGCATTAATATACAAAGGAGATTGCTAGTAGCTCTGATCCATTTAGCTTGTGAAAAATTTCAGCCTCAACAAAGACGCATTTAAAGGCGTTTTAATAATTATGGAGGAAGAGCTTGGGAGAAGTGTAAAATCACCATCGGTAGATTGATGGAAGTTTTGAGGTTTTTCGCTGAAAGAAGTTACCAACATGGTGTTGGGAAAAGATTTTGTTGTGGGGTTGGCGCAATCCACGTGCTAAAAAACGTTGACAAAAACTTTCAACATTTTGCAAAGCCTCGAATAATGTCCAGCCTTTTGCTTATGCATTCCACCATTTTTTCGCTTAACGACCGATTTTTTGGTGATCTTCGACCTGATACATATGTACATATGTTGGACATATTTAATAACAATCCAATTTCTAATTACTTTTTACTTTATTTTATTGATATTAATTTCGAAATTAGCATATGACAACGCGGATTTCAGCATACCAATTTTACGATTCGTAGCAAAATCGAATCTACGATGGATTACAGCAAAGCGATGTATGAGTTTGTGTCGAAACGGAATGGGTATATCAACTAATGATGAGAGATGGATAGGTGAAGATGCTCAATACTATAGTCATTCATCCGCCTGTAATCTGTGTTCGCAAGACAATTTTTTTGATTATTTCAAATTTGATCACCGGGTTTAATAAACAATTAAACAACTTTATTTTGGAATTGTTTAAGGCAAAATGTAGGCCTATTTAAAACTGCACCGGAATTGGAGAATCCTAAATTGGTTTCCATGTTTATCGATAAGTTTTCGTAAAGCCTAGAACAAAGTTTAAACAATTTTAATGAATCATTAAAATTGAATACATACATACATATTTTAGGAATAAAAAGAGTGCATACCGATGCAGATTTACAACCATTCATAATGTTGAGTATTAGTGGGCAATTACTAGCGGTATACAAAACATGCAACCATTAATGACATTGCAGACAAAAGAAAAAATAAGGGCCAGTTTCTCAATGTCTGGTTAACACTAACTTCAGGTTAAACATCATTATCGACGTGATCGCCTCCATAACATATAAAAGGGAGTCGATGACGTTGATAACCATGTTTAACCGTTAGTCAGTGTTGACCAGACATTGAGAAACCGGCCCAAAGAGGTTTTAGGTAAAAGGTAAAAATCGGAGTTGAGCCGCGAGCTGGTACAAACAGTTTAGTATATCATTCCAGAGAAAAGCAAACACAGTTAGACCTCTAGTTGTTGTTTTAACAGCATACTAATTCCCCAGAGTTTTTGGGGGAAAATGTTGGAGGGACAGTCCTTGGTCAGATATAAACCAGGATCCTTTCGGTTATGTAGACCCGACTATCGTGAGTGCGCAGTAAGACCTCTAATGAGCAATGCTGTAGGAATACTATTTGTTCCTGCTACCACAGCGTTTTCAATTCAAGACAGGGCACGGTTAAACATCCAACATCCGAAAACGAGTCTCAGATTGCAATGGAATAAATAGGGCACATATCGACGTCTCCAAACCATACCATGTTAAGTCACCTTAGGCTTAGTCAGACTTAGAATGGTATGGTTTGGAGGCGTCGACATGAAATATTAATAATTTTCCTAATTTTCATTAGACTGGTTTCACGGGTTAAAAAACAAAAACTAACAGAAGTTTAAGTTGATCTTGACGACAACGAATAAGCGAAAACCCGTTCTAGGTAGGCCTATGTAAGCCGCTACAACAGCAACAAAAACTAGACCGTTTCGCACAGATTTATGGAAATGATTCGGCCTGAAATCCAGAGGAAGAGGAAGTCCTCATTTGCAATGGGAAGACCAGATGGAGAAGAACCTGGCTTCACGTGACATTTCTATTCGTCAGAGAAGAAAAACGACTGGCATGCTTTATTGAACCGGGTCAAGAAGATTTATTCTTTTCAATGCATAATTCCTCAACGAATTTTGGGGAATGCTGTTATATCTATTGGACCGTTTTTCTTTACATATTCTTGTATGGCATTAAATTCTCTAAAAAAATGACCTGGATTTTGTTGTCTTAGAGACGATTAAGAGTGTTAAATATGTTTAATGATATTGCTGACCGAGGTATAGCAATTTCGTATGATGGGTTGAGCTACTTCCGTAATGTTATTCGGATCTGCTCACCGATATTTTGTCTCAATTTGTGGATTGTTTGTTGGGTTGCAGCTACTTCAAGTAGTGGAAGTTTTTAACAATTTATTTATTTTTTATTGCATTTTTAAGCATTAATATTCTTTTTAATTACTAGTAAAATCCTGTTTATTTCAATTGTGATATTGCTAGCGTGTAATTGCACTACTTGCAAAAGAGATTGCTTTTGTTTCAATATGTTGATTTGGGCCAAATAATTAAAGAGAATATTAATGTTTAAAAATGCAATAAAAAATAAATAAATGGATTAAAACCCTCTCTTCTCTGACAAATCTAGCTCAAAATCAACATCTTTTACACATTTCGTATAATTTTAGTGTAAGTTTTTCATTTAGCATGAATATTTCCAATAATAAAGCCCTAAAACTACATATCTCTACCTTTATCAACTTTCAAATCCCCTAGATATATACATTTTTGAGACTTCAACTTCAGAGTTATTTTTTAGAGAACTTAATGCCCTTCTAGAATATGCCTCAATGAATTTTTTTATTTATTTATTTATTTATTTTATTTATTATAATCAAACACACAACCATGAGTTATTTTACAGTGTTTGAACTTAATTTAATTATAAAAGCTTAAAAACTAACATTAAGGGAAACCGTAGGTTGTAAAAATGTGTAAGGAGGAGAAGAAGAACAAAGAAGTATTAGAAAAAAGAAAAATATATGTGTACGTGCATCTTAGCAATTTAGAGGGCAAAAATTATGTAAGAGCTCATTTTTAAAGTGTACATGGATAGTTTTGATCTTATATGGCAGAGCGTTCCAAAGACGAACAGCAAAAACAAAGGACTGACGTTCAGATACAAGGCAACTGTATGTCATACTAAGCAGGTTAAGTGATCGGGCCGATCTCGTGAATTGAATTCGTTCAACAAGGTATTTGGGCTCATGAGAGTTAATTACCTTGTGAAGCAGCATTAGGCATTTTACTTTTAATAAATCGTCGAACTTTATAGAAAATATTTTTAAGGCAAAAACAGATATATGATCACGACGTTTTACACAATACACGTATCTGGCGATGTTGTTGTAGAGGATATTAAGTTTGCCACGACACAGACTATCACAATTGGCATACAGTTCACATCCATACAATAAGGTTGGTAACAGAAATGTTTTAGCTAAAAGCAGTCGAATTTTCTCTGGGGTAAAGTGCTGAATAGTCCATAATGAACGGAGCATGCCATAAACCTTGCCTATTGCACTATAAATGTGGGTATTCCACGATAGGGTTCTATTGAAAATTATCCCTAGGTTTCTTGCAGTGTCAACAAATTTTATAACAGAGTTGTTCAATTTCACTTCACTGTAGCCCTCAAGTTTGAAAGTCTTCTTGTAAATAACGATGCACTGTGATTTACTTGGATTTAAAAGTAACCCATTGTCACAGGCCCACTTGCTAACGTGATCTAAGTCAGTGTTGAGGTTACTAATACAATTATTAACGGATACAAAAGGGCAACTGACATATAGTTGAACATCATCTGCATATACATGAATATCACAATATTTTAACACACTTTGTAGATCGTTTACATATAACACAAACAATAGAGGACCGAGAGTCGAGCCTTGGGGAACGCCTTTAGTTACGGGTAAGCAGTTAGATATAATGTCACCGGCCCAAACAGCTTGTGAGCGATCATTGAGGTATGATTTTATTAAATTTAATGCTGTCGACGAGAAGTTAAACAAGTTGCTAAGTTTCAAGGCTAGAAGATCGTGATTAACAGTGTCGAAAGCTTTGGAATGATCCAGAAGTGTTAATAAAGTCACGCGATCGTTGTCAATGTTTAGTCTGATGTCGTCTGATACCCTAATTAGCGCCGTTATACAGCTTCGGTTGGATCTAAAACCAGATTGGTACCTATTCACCAGCAGGTTTCGACTCAGAAAAGAATTTATCTGAGTATGCATAATGCGCTCAAGTACCTTGGATAAAAAGGGTAGTATTGCGATGGGTCTAAAATCCCCATTAGATTTCTTAATTGGAATGATTTTTGCCGACTTCCAACAGTGAGGAAAAACAGACGTGGTCAAAATGCTGTTGAAGACATAAGTTACGTACGGTAAAATTTTAGGCAATAAGCATTTAAAAAATTTCGGATGAATTCCGTCTATACCAATCGCATTAGATTTCACACTGAGGACGGACTCGACAACGGCACAATCATCAATATTGGAGAAGGTAAAACCAGGTATTGTTCCATTCATACATACACTGTACTTTTCACGACATATATTACTGCTACAGGCGGATAATTGTACAAATTTCTCATTCAGCTCATCTACGTTTATATTCTCTGAAACAGGATTACTTTTGTTGCCAATCCCTATTTCACGAATATATTTCCATGTATTTTTAGAACTTATTGCTGTGCTAAACTGATGCTCATAGTATTTCAGTTTTTGCAATTTAATGGCTCTGGTGGCTTCTCTTCTATGACCCTTGAAGACATTATATGTTGCTGCACATTTCAGGTGTTTCCACTTTCTATATGCCTTGTTGCGCTTCTGAATAAGACCCTTTATATAGTTGTTGAACCAAGGCCGTTTGCGAATATTGCCTGATTTTGTTACAAGCGGCACATACTGTTCATATAGGGAACTTATATTGGTTTGAAGAAAATTCACCTGCTCGTTTGTGGATACCAAAGTGTAAACATACTCCCAGGGTATGGCATCAACAGCTTCTTCGAGTTGCTCATAATTAATATGCATAAAATCTCGATATGAATAAGAAACCGTATTACAAGCTAACTTAAAATCCAGTGTTAGAAAAATGAGGTCATGCTTAGAGAAATTTGGGACGGAGAGTTGGTCATAGATTAGAACTTTCGACCTATCACTTACAAAAAATATGTCCAAGAGCGTGCTGCTTGTTTGGGTGTAATGTGTAGGGGTTGACGTGTTTACTGGGAAAAGACCCAGATTTTGCATTGCAAGTGAAAATTTGTTTTCAGTCAGCAAATCACTGTTAAAATCTCCAGCTATTACAATATCACTAAAGGTGAGGCTAAGATTTTCAATAAAATCTATAAAATTATCATAACCAATGTGTTTGTGAGGTCTATAAACACATCCTATGAGTATCTTTGTATGATTACACATGATTTCAACAAAGAGGTATTCAATTGAACTATAAGGCTCTGATGTACATTTAATTCTACAGGACAAACTAGATTTGACGAACACGGCAACACCGCCACCGTGCCCAAGTCTATCTAAACGAAAAAGTTTATATCCATCAACACAAAACAAATTGTCACTATGCCACGCAGAGAACCAAGACTCGGAAACACATACAACATCAATGTCAGACGATTCAAAAATGTATCTGAACTCATCTATTTTAGCTGGTAAGCTCTGGGCGTTAAGATGACATATTTTTAACCCGTTTCTTTGTCTACCAAGTATGCGCATCATATTAAACGTGCTTTCATAGTCTTTAGAACGAAAGCGGCTGTTAATATTCAAAACAACAAAAGTATCGAAGACATTGCACTTTGATGTCAAGCAAAAAGCCACATAAAATGCCAAACAAATTGCAGCACTTGAAAAAAAGAAAGAGTAAGAGAGCGAAAGAAGTTAACAAACAAAAAGTTAGAAATAAAGAAAAATATGTGCAGCGCAGGTATAGAAACATAAGGGAAGGAGAAGCGTAAATTAACATTATATTAAATTCTAAACTAAATACTAGTTAAGAGAAAAATATGTTGACAAAAACGCGCGAGTGTTCTTTTTGTTAGTGTATTGAATAATTTTATGTTATGCTTAAAAGAGTATTCACGTCAGCGGTACTGCACACTAATTGGCGCTCTTCGTTTGGTTTTCGCCTGAT